ACCGTTGCGGATGATAAATAATGACAGTAGATAAGAAATTATTTAATATCTAGATTTTTTAATGTTAAGAAACTCATTTAAGGGAAAAAATTACCTCTTTGCGTCTGGAGTGATTAATTATGCGATCATCCGTCTTAAAACGAAATGGTTTTGGTCGAGTAGGCGTATATGAACGTCTAGGAGGGAGAGGATCTGGTGACCCAACGGGCATCGGCTGCGCACGAAATGAATTTGCAAGCTCACGAATATGATCATATGCTAATTTTTCCCGTTTAGATCTAGCTTCCAAGATAGCGGTCTCACGTGGCTCAAAACTGAATGGCTTCGATATAGTGTACTTTGGAGGCTAAAAACGTGTGCCCAAATTATATGCAGAAAAATTTTATGAGCAAGCAAATTCAAAATGAACTGACTTTCTGTTTGAAAGCAATTCCTATATGACCATGAGAAGTGTGCGAAGCCGTATTATCCTCACTCGGAGCAGGATGAACTTTCTCTTCTGATTGGACAAAAATTTGTGAGTTATCTTTAAGTGCTTGTAATTTGATTCTTTTTTCTGTGACGTGATCATAAAACTCGTGCGTTGAGTCCTAGAGAATAAGGTTAAGTATTAAAGCTTAAAAATAAGATATATTGTAATGAAAAAAGATATGTGCACGACTAATTAGGTAGCTGACACGATTTTTGAGTAAAAGCAATCACAACCAACAAAATAGTTGCTGCCTTAAAGTGAGTTCCATGATAAGGGAAATAGTATAGATAAAAAATATCAAGACATTACTAGGTTTCTTTATATGACTTCAAGGAAATGTAAAAGCACATAACCCTTGCATTCATTAGTATAAAATAGCAAGAATAAAAAATTAACGGATTGTTTAATTAAATTAAGAAAAGCAACTCAAAAACTAAAACAATATAATGAAAACCAAAAGTCATAAAAATTTTGCAATCTTCGAATTCCAAGATATTTTTTAGAATATATATCATTTACGAGTATATGTTGAACTTTACAGCCTTCAGATGCTAATTCTGAACTTGTACGATTTTCTAATAAGTATTTGTCTAGCCTGCTTAGCATACTATGTCTTTTGCGGCTGATTATGGAAGGTAGGGAAGATGAATCGGTAGACATGACAAAAAGGAGGGATAATAATTGGCGCGTAATGCGAATATAGGTCACACCAGTATTTTAAACATGTACGCATACAATTTTAGTTGCGTATTTCGTTGATATTAACATTCGTGCATATACGCTTTAGATATATTTTTTAACAGTTCCTTGATTTATATAAATTCTACTCTGTTTAAAATTTTTACTTTTTGAAATTATCTCATTTTTCTGAATTTATGCGCAAGTTAGCATAAGCAAATATCTTATATGGAGTTGGCCTACCCTTCATTTCGCTTGAAAAGGTAAGTAGAAGGCCTTTTTAAATTGTTGAGCTTATATTCATTTCAATGGCAATATAAATACGATGAGAAACTGGCTTTTGATGAATCCATTGAGATAATATTGTTAGGGTGAAATTCATTTCGTATGAAAGTGAATGAAGAAGAGATTCGTTGGTCGATCTCATGAGATGAGGATGGATGAAACTAGTTGTACTGTAGCCGTTTGGCTTTTATATGATATTCATGTTGACGCAGTCCACGAGACTTCCTCCCTCGTTTCGGGTAAAAATGTGCTGAGCATTCGTCCATTATATGATGGACATCATCAGAACTAGGTGTCATTCTTGTAAAATTCTCATGTTAACACTAAGGGCAAGGAGACTATCCGGCTTTATCTTACTTCTTATATAGATTTAACTGAGCAAAAAGTAAATTAAAAACCTAGATATATCGATGAAGAGTGGTTTGGATAATTATCTTTCATACTGGTCCTATTACCTTTGCTCGATTGTATGCGTATGTGTAGGTGTGTTTTTTAGCTCTGATGATGTCCATCATATGATGGTCGAAAGCTTAGCACGTTTTCACCTCAACCATGAACATCGTATAAAAACCATACGGCTGCAGTTTAACGAGATTTATCCGTCTTCATCTGGTGAATCGACTAACGATTCTTTTCTTCATTCACATTCATACGCTATGAAAGTCTTCCTAATGATGGCAATGTAGTCATCCATATATCTAAGTAACAGGTTGGGGGTCAACCTTACCTCTCCTATTAAGTGTTCCTCCATTCTTGACATGTAATAATTAACTAAAATGGGAGCCAAGCAAGATCCCATTGCTGGGCTTTGCACCTGTTCATAAACTTTATCATTCAAGGTAAAGTATATGCTGCTCATGGATGGATTAAGACGCCTTAAGATTAAGCTTTTGCTCAAATTTGCTTGTTAGGGAGACCTTCATTTAGAATGAAAGTGCATGAAGAAGATATTTGATGGTCGATCTCACCAGATGAGGAGGGATGAAACTCGTTGTACTGCAGCCGTTTGGCTTTTATACGATATTCATGTTGACTCAGTCCACAAAACTTCCTTCCTCGTTTCGGGTGAAAACGTGCTGGGATTTCGTCCATCATATGACAGACATCATCAAAACTGGATGGCATTCTTGTAAAAGTCTCACGTTAACACTTAAGCAAGAACACTATTCCGCTCTATCTTACTTTTTATATAGGCTCAATCGAGCCAAAAAATTAAAAATTAATAACCTAGATAGATCGATATAGAATAGTTAATTTTCCTTCATTCTGATCCTGTTATTTTTGCTTGATTGTATGAGTATGTATATTTGTGCGTGTTACCGTCTATATGCAATACAATTCCTAAATCAGACTTGTCAAAGGTTAAATCTCAGGTTCTGATCCTCAAGACCTAATAACCCAATAGGAAATCTTTGACCAAGACTGCCTAGCTCCATAAATAAATTTGGTTGAGATAATGAAATATGATCTAGTAAGCACGAAAATCAAGTTACGAAACCACTTGTCCTAACTTACTATTACATGTTGGGCGAATGTGAGTGAAATAATAACTATCACTGAGCAGAGAAATAAAGACGTCTCAACACCCTCTCCCTCTTTCAATCTATCCATCAAGCATAAGTAATTCTTACTCAGCTTACTACCACCGTTTCTTACATTCGAAATGAAGATGCCATTAACAATGTTATCTCAGGGGATTCATCGAAACCAATTTTCTCTTTAGATTTGCTTCCCCATTAATTTATGGTTGCTTATCTAAGATGATTGCTAATGCATCAATAGCTTTATGAACTGGGGTTTTGTTATACTCTGATGCTACATCAAGACTAACCAAAATATCTGTTGATCTATTAATCTAGCAAATTCATATAAATTCCTTACTTAATATTTCCAATACTCAGCCAATTTTCTTAGTTTTATTACATAAGAAGCCTGAAATCCTATGCACCATAGTACCCCTATGATTACCAAACACTCATAAATGAACTCTCCCTTGTGTATTTTTAGAAGGTCGTAAGGGAATTGCTTAACGTTTATGTAATTTAGGATAAATTAAAAATTGGATAATGAATTTACTTTATCAGAGTGACGCCAGTGCGCATTCGGCTTACGGCCTCCAAAAATACACAAGGGATGAGTTCCTTAAAGATTGAATATTATTATTTTTTGCATGTAAGGCGAGTTTCGAGACTAACAGTAAATCAGTAATATGAGATGTATTCATCCTATTTTGTTTAAGATTATAAAGGGCTGGTTGAGAATTTTTCTACAATAATATGAGGGGATATGTAGTAGTCGGTTTGCATGGCAAAAATACGTTTATTTCATCGGCAATCCCACCAAAGAATGTGATATATTGGAAAAAACCTGGTTTTCTTTAAAATTCATATCTGCCCTGTGACCCAAAAGTATTCGTGGCAATGTGGCTGAGTGGTTAACGTGTCAGGCTCACATTCTGCACCTTCACTGTTTAAATCCAGCTGTGGATGTTGATAGGATCTATCTAAGTTCAAAACCGCAGTCCACCCTGGATGAGAACAACTTTTAAGAATTCGAGGCTATGTGAAATTGAATAAAAACGTCAGCTCTACTTATATCATTGC